GACTTTTAAGCAGGCCTGTTGAATCAACAGTCACGACCTACATCCTGTGCGTGACAACAAAGAGCAAACCCTACAAACTTTTTTGTAATTATCTTTCTTGTCGGGAGCACTCGGAGTATGTGTGTATGTGTCCAAATGGATGATTTTAAACTGAATTGGTGATCAGAGGCTGACTTGTATTTAAATTTTAGGTGTTGTCAGTGAGTAGTCTACAATATCAGACAATACTACTGTCAATAAAATAACTTTATAAATTCACATGGAAATCGTAACCTAAATGTAAATATTTAGTATATGCTTGTGAATCTAAGTCACAGGAACACCATGTGATACAACTGGTAGATTTTGGTAGTCCTGGTACCATTTTGGTCACATATTGAAATGATGTATGATGTAACAAGAATGAAAGGTTTGACAATTTTATTTAGAAACAAACTAGGAGATACAGCCACTGCAATAAAGGGATCGTGCAGGATAATATGATCCAATAAAAATAGATTTTGATAGGATTTGGTGTTTTGTTTGGATATAATCTCTAATCCAGTTGCATTTCAGTGAAGCGCACCATTTTTTAATGCATTTCTTTGTTGTGCAGATTGTTCTTAAGTTTGAGGGTCTCATGGACCAAGATAACATTTGTGGCACATTCCTACAGTAACCAATCATCTGAAATAATCAATGAGTTTAATGGGAATGGGAACTAAAACCTTAAACAAAACAAAAAAAGATTAAGCATTTAGGGTAGCATGCCCTGTGTGTTGCACAGCTCAAAATAAGTCACAGTCAATGAAAACCGAGTTGCTTAAGTCTATCCCTGTTTGATCATCAAAACTAAAATAATGCACAAAAACTAGTTGTGTTGGATTTGAATCAGCATTTCTGGTTCTAACTTTGGATTAAAATAACAATATATACTATAAAGTCCACTTTCTAGTTACTGCATTTCATTTTAGGTTATTTTATCAGTTTGCTGTTGTGATCCAAGTCCCTTGCAGTATAATATTGTTTATACTAATATGAAATGAACCCATGTAGCCATCCTGAAACTGCACTGAAATATATACCTACTAGCTCACATTCACCTATAGGTTACACTTCATCAGCAGTGATGAATTAGAATCCATGGCTCCAGGAGAAATGGCTCTGTGCCATGCCTGTGGTGCAGGTCAGCGCTGGTTGCGTGGGGCTGGCATGATCCGAAGTGAAGCGATGCTTTCTCGGGTCATGAGCCGTGTCACCTGGTCCAGACTGAGTCCAGCCACCGCCTCTCCGTTCACCTCTAGAATTTCATCACCAATGCCAAGGAGACCTATGTAGGGCCCCTCACCGCTGCCGTCACCCGCTTTCTCTACATATACTCCTGGAGTAAGGAGACAGTATTTCATCACCAATGCCAGGGAGACCTATGTAGGGCCCCTCACCGCTGCCGTCACCCGCTTTCTCTACATATACTCCTGGAGTAAGGAGACAGTAAGAGGGGATTATATACATACACATATTACAAGTATTATTAATATAAAATAACCTTACAAAAAGGAAAATCCTTTTAAAACACATTTAACAATATTATAGAAATCTGTATTGTGACATGTTTCATGATGTATCTGAATATGTTTGATACTTATAGCTTTCTTTTGAAGTGAAGCCAAAGACAAATTTACTGACTAGCTGAAAAATTACATTTTGTTTCTGTTCCCTTTCTCTTCTCCTTCTGCTCTTATTATTCTATTTTCAAAATACACTGACAATTAGCCAGGGGAAAAAAAGTGACCACCAAAATTAAACAAGTGTAAAACCCAACTCTACATTTAAGAAAGAGCGCAAAAGATTTGGATTAAAAAGTTACCCGCATTTGGTCGACCTTTGCCCCTTGAGATGACAAAACCAAAAGGACCATTTGGGGGTCTGATGAGCTCCAGGAGGAGAGTCCCATCAGGAAAAGCCTGGATGATTCTACCCACTGGATGTACAGTTCTGGAGGTGCGTACATTTTCAACACTGAGAGCTCTGTGAAGTTCGAGCCGAGGGCTATCAGGGCTGTAGAAATGAAAATCCAGCTTGTCATTTCTTTACTAAAGCAATGAAGTATGACAAGAATCTTGTTTAATACCATTTTTCTGTTTCTTACTGTCTTTCTCTGTTTTATTTTTTTTTGACACCCACCTGGGTGCCAGGCCGTATGGTATCGGCACCTCTCCCAGAATGGTGGAACGCTCTGTTCTTCTCTCTAAGCCCTGCACTGAGGAGGCTTTGTGCAGTTGGGCCAGTGGCAGCACCTAGTGGCAAACAAATGGCACTGTAACAAATTGTATATTTCAAACTGGCCACCTTTTCAAACAACCTTTTCAATCTTTGTAACCTTTTTACACTCAAATAACCCTCTAAAACTAACAAAACCGTGTTTGGCACCACAAACACTCATTATGCTGACAGAGGCTGTGGTTGAATGAAGCAGAAAGTTGTTTACTTGTTTATTATATTCTTGCAGCTGCCAAGAGGACAACAAGGTTGGCTAGCACAGAAAGTGCAAGGATACACAGATAACCTGGAATGCATTATTTTGGCTGTCAGTGTCCGGCAGAAAGGTTTGTGATACTTCAGAGCCTCGCTTGCTCTCTTGTGCCAAATTAATAGTGAAAAATAGACAAACTGGAGGCTTAAGGATATGTAAATAAGATGTTTTCTACCTACAGCCTTCTTTTTTTGGGTAAAAATCATGATTATTTGATGAGTCGAAATAAAACAAAATTAAAGAGACTACAGAGACAGTGCTTTCGATGTGAAAAAACGTTGCTACTCTTGCTCACTGTGTGCAGGGTCTGTAGTGAGGGTGTCCTCTGTATGCTTGGGGAGGCAAAGCTGGCTCGCAGGGTGCTGGGGGTACTGAGCTGTTCCATACTGCTGGACTGGCCTCCTTTTACAAGTCTGCCAACACTGTTCAGACCGATGGAGGAAAAGAAGTGACGCAGGAATATCTTTGGCCATCCATCCAGTTTTCTGTAAAACAAAGGTTGAAAGTTACTTTTTGTGAGATGACATTATAGACAAACAGACTGCCAGTCATAACACAAGAATTGTGATTTTTAAGAACTGTTTAAATCATTATTGTGGTAATTATGCTAATGCTTTTCATTTCCAGAAGAGGGCAGGAGTGTCCTGGTGTTGACAGAATATTTTTAACAGTAACATCCTGTGAGCTGTAGGTCAGGTTTTAATCCCCTACAGTAGCCCGTACCACTGGCATGTTCCAGTTGCTTTGAGAGCAGCGTTGGTGGGGCCAGGGATTCATCGTCTAAGTTATGACAAGAAGGTGGTTATTTTCACCTACCTCGACCCATCAGAGTTTTCCTCATATGTGAACTCAGCTTTCAGATGTTCTGCTCTCAACAGCTCTGCTCTGAGGTCCTCAGCCCGAGACAGAGCCTGGGATCTGAACTCAGGACCTGAACCATGGTCTCCACGCAGACCTGCTTGTAGAAAAGGATGTAATGAAATTACGTTCTGCTCTGTTCTGCTACTCTTTACTGTTAAAATCAAATCATTCCGTTTTGTTATGTTGTGTTCCATTTTATGCTACCTTTTATTTTTATCCAGATCTGTTTTGTTCTGTTCTACTTTGTTCTTTTCTGTTCTGTTGTGTTGCGTTTTAGAAGCTTAAAATATAATTATGGGATTTCCATAGAACATATACAGTATCTATAGATCTCTACTACATTTATGTGCAGTTTTGAGGTATGTGCAAAGTAACGCACAGCACTTAGATTTCAAAGGGAAATATTGTTTTTCTCCACTACAATTGCTACTACTACTACTATTACATTTTACAGATGATATTTCTGTACTTGAGTCAAAATCTGAATACAAGGCATAGTTGGAAAAGAATATTTTTACATCATGGAATTATTACATTTAATTAAATAATGGATCCAAGTACTGAAATGTATCCATGACTGTGTTCGTCCCCTGTGAGTACTCACCTGTTCCATCTGGAGTGGCATCCCAGGTTTCAACTGTTGGCATGTCTGGGTTGACTCGGGCTGGTGAGTACTTCAGAGTGCAAGGCCTGATACAGGGCACTGGGCTGCTTGTTGCAGATGTTCCTTGGGTTACAGTCATTGGGAACTCCCTTTTTGTCTCTGGAGAGTCCAGGAAGACAGAATATGGAGATCCACCGTCACCTCCCTGGTTGGAGTTAAACTGGAACTGAACTGTAGACTGACCTGTAGCAGAGCGATTCCTTGAGCTTGACTTCAGCGCTGACTTTATAGGAAATGACTGGGTTGGTGATTCTCTTAGACCACATGATGCTTTCAGCTCAAGAGCTATGGGGCTACCAGGAGCAAAGGAAACTGCTCTGTTCAAGTTGACCCTGTTCCTAGGGTTTGAGTTACGCCGCTGAGCCCATGACGGACCATAAGGGCCATGGCCAGACTCCAAATGGCTTTCTCCTTTCCTGCTCCTTCTCCGAAGTTTCCCAAACCCTGATGCCTTCCATCCTATGTTACTCTCTTCATTTTCTCCCAGAACATATGCCCCAGCAAAAGTGACAGTAAGAGGAGCCTTGGGACAAATATTTGCCTCTGGCTTGATTGGAGGCTCCCAGCGATGAACTGGTTTACCCTGTGCATCCTCAGAGTTACCAGACTGCTGTGGGTCATTGTTTTGTGGATCTGATGGTGATATGATTGACTGAGGTTCTCTGACTATAGACCCACATGCCTCACATTTCTTCACCAACACTACTATCTCTTTAATCACTGTCGTGGTCTCACCACTAACACATATATCTTCTTGCTTCTGTGAGGGAGGCATGGAAACACTTCTATGTCTTCTGCTCCTCTCTGTACCACTACTGCTGGACTTAGGGACTCCAGGCCTACCACGCTGTCTGACCCTATCCAAATACCGAGACTCTACTTCTTTGTCTGATTCATCTTCAAAGCGTACCCGTGTGGGTGAACAACCATACCGTCTAGACTGACCTCCTTGGTCGCCAGGGGAAGCATCTCTTTGAGTGGGTATGAGGAGGGGGCCTGACACAATTTGTGCTGTAAGATCTTCTTCAGTTTGAACAGCTTTCTTCACTGGTGTTGGACTGGGAGATTCAACTTGCTGGTGGTTCCTGCAATAAATAAAAGGGCATACTACAGACAGTTATTTTGTAAGCTAGTACCTTATTGAAAGTAAGGCAAAATGAAAGCACAATTGAACATGAAAGTAAATCTGCTCTTGGTCATCTCTGTTGATAGAAGATTGATCTGTGTATGTTTATATGGCACCCATTTTCTCAGTAATTAAATGATTAAATAAAATTACATGGTAAATTATTATAAAGTGTATAGAACAGATTTGCAACAGGTATGTCTCAGCCACCACAGACCAGGTTTGTTTTCAAGTCATGAATGTAGGGTCCATTGAAAATGCTCCTGAATGTAAATTAAGTGAAGACCCCCTGCTGACATACAGGGATTTCAGAACCAAAACAGCATGATGTACACACTGTTTCATGAGGAGAAAGACATTTTCACTGCATTTAGGGAAGGGCCATGAGGTGAAAAGAGGAAACATAGAAACAGACATAGGAACAAAGCAGTTTGTACAAAAACACTAATATCTTGTCAGTAAATTGAGTCTTATATTACAGCATTGATTCATGGCCATGCACACATACTCTATGCAACACCTTCCCAGTCTTTCACACCTAACTACATGCCAAAGAATCATAGCCTACATACTGTAAGTAGATGCAGCCAACTTACACTGTGGTTCTCTGATCAAAATGGAAGCATCTGCAGGGGTGATCAGCTTTAACATGACTGAAGCGAGCCTTGAGTCGTGCTCGCTCCAGGAGACGCTTGGCTTGCTCGTGTCTTGGGCTCAGAGGAAGCTCATCACTGATCACAAGAAGTGACATGATGATCATGAGAAAGATGCTTTTAGTACAGAAATGAAGGTAATGAAAACAGCAAGGAAATGCACAAAGTCAAATCTGTTTAACTGAACATTTCAGATATAGTTATAAATATAATTGAATAAATGTTCAAATATGTAAAGCGACATATTCCTCACAGTTTAACTTAACATAGACTGAGTTAAGCTGCATCTTCCTAAGCTGTCTTATGTAATATGAGATAGACACAGGGCATGGTGCTGGCAGTGAGCAGCAGAGAGAAACGTCATCTATCCATCTATCTTTATTCCCAGCAGCTAAGCTGCTCTGCATTGTGCTTCATCACCTGTATTTGTCTTTATCCCCTGGCCCAGTGATAAAGATAGCATGATACACAAGCAACAAGGATTATCATTGTAATGGACTGAGTGAGATTTATTCTTTCCTGTGTGTCTAGAGGAGAACATATTGTGCTATAATGGATTACAGTTTGTTGTGTTAATGTTCAACACTGACATGGTATAATTAACATCCTGGTTTGATATCTCACATACAGCTGTCTCATTCTGCACTTTATAATGATGGTGATCATAGTTCACTCTGTAATAATAATGACCTCAATAATATTTCCACCATTGCTACAAATAAACTGAAAAGTGTGAATTAGATGAGACACTGAAGAAATGAGCCAAACTCTATGTTGAAAAGCTGACAAATCAGTGTTTTTAATGCAGGGCTGCACAAACATTACATGTATTTAACTTCTCTATTTATTTTGTTTCATTAACTTAGCTTGTATGATCTTAAGTTTTGCTCTGGAGACTCATTTACAACAATTGCAATATATTGTAAAGTATCACAGTTTTTAAATTTCTTACAAATGGGAGCTTCACTGCATAAATTTGAGTGAAAATATCAGCTTCATCTGATATGAATGTATATATATTTGATTACAATAAATCTTCATTTATGCCTGCATCACCATTTGAAAATTATTAAACACTGTTGTCACTGTCAGTGCTTGTTTTGGCTGTGCACAAAGCAGCTTGTTTGTCACTCTAGCTTCTTTGGTTTGGGAAAAAATACACACATGGAGCTGTAAGAGTAGAATTTATGAGGAGAGGATATAAATAGTGCCTAGGAGTTGAATGTCACCGCCCATGCCAAGCACGTAAAAAGCATAGCATTGCTCACCTCAAATGTGGTTCAAGTCCCACTGAGCCTGAGATGTCCAAAACCCCACGGACACATGCTGCTGGCATAAAACAGAGTGGAAAAGTACAAATCTGAGGATGTGTGCTAATGCAATAGACTGGAATTAAAATGTCATATGACAGCACTGATGTTACATTTTGTGGTCAAAGTCTTATGTCCACAAAACATGAAGCTGCTCCAGTCTTTGTCTTCCTTTTACATTTAACTTGCCATTTAATTCAGTGTTTTAATGTTTGTCTGGTGCAAAGATACAATCTGTAGGGACATTGTGAGCATTAAAATAACTGGGTCTTTATATTATCATTAATATTTTCATACACCTTGATACTGTTGGATTCACTGACAGTCTTGTAGGTTAAACCTGACTGATAGGTTAAAAAACACAGGTTATGCAAGAGACAGATAATAGATTTCTTAGAATCAAGAGGGGAAACTCATCTGATCATCATAGATTTACCCATATGTCTTGCACTGACATATATTGGCACACATATACGAACACACAGAGCTGTCATATACAATAGATGCACATGAAAAACAGATCATCTGTCACACTACATGCATACAAAGACATCCATTAGCACATGGACAGAATTACACAAGTGGGGACACTTCCCCCCACTGCTCCGACTGCTAATAATAGCAACACCCTTGTGCACATCTGCACATCTGACATCTGTTCAACACTGGGAATCAGTCAGGTTACATACTGCATCTCTATCCATCATAGATATAGGATTGTATAAGGCAGCATAATGGCTGCAACAGCTGGAAAGCATTCTAACCAAACAATGTGAACAAAATGTTGACATTTCTAAAAGTGTTGTAATGTTGTTTGGGAAAGTATGCAATTGTACTATTCTCACTCAAAATGACAACATGCCACTGGAGCTTTTACACTGCTCAAAATATAGTAGTTGCAATAGTATTCATCTTAAAACAATCACTATATGGGCTGCAAGTGAAAATCAAACAGCTACGGCTGAACCGGTTGTTTAAAAAGAATAAACACAAGCCTTCATTTATCAAAAAGTAGAGTCAGACATAATGTATATCTGTGTTGTACTAAAGATAAAACCACCTCAGGATGGGGAGGAGGAATCTGTGACTTGGCTGAAGTTGTCTCACAGACCCTTAGGACAAGTTTTGCCTTATATCTGCTTTCACCCAATAATTCAAGTTTTTACATTTGATAGAAAATACTTGCCATTTCCCTTAACAGGCCTACCTTTACTTCCCACTTTGAGAGTCCTGTCTCCACAATATCTGGCACTTTCTTCTCCATTCTGCTCTCTCACCTCCTTGCAGTCTTGTTGTTTTTCCCTTAACATTGCATAAGCCCTCTGCTTCACCTTCATCTTCTCATCAGCTGAGGGCATCCCACTTTGTGAAGTCAAGCTCTGCCAGCTGTCTAATCTGCACAGGCCTTTGGCAGGGTCACCAGCATCTATCTCCTGTTCACACCTGTCCAAGTAGCATCCCACACGGTCAGAGTGCTTGACTTTTGATGATTCATTGCTCTCAACCACAGCACCCCCCACATCGCCCCTAGTGCCTGTTTCAGCTGGCTTAGACTTCTTCTGAGGCTCTGCCAGTGCTCCTGTCTGAGTATAGTCCTTCAGAGGTAAAGTGGAAGGTATGTTGTGAGGGCCAACACCATTTAGAAGCAATGTTTCTGGGCATGCTACTCTCCAGAATCCTTTGGGTGGTGCCCAGTGTCTTCCTGACATAGAGGAAGAAGAGGAAAATGTTGTGGAGGCAGAGGTGGCAGCAGAGCAGGAGGAGAGTGCAGGTGGTGGAGAAGGAAGGGATGGTTCATCCTTACTATTACTTGAGTTATCAGACAGAAGGCCTTTCAGACTGGTACCTTCCCCAAGCCCATAAGACTGGCTGGTCTGAAAGCTGACCTGGCCCTTGTTTCTTTCTGACCTCTCTTTTTGGGTTTCTTCTCCCCTCTGGAACATATGTTTCCCTTGTGCTTCAGCCGGAGGGCTGTGGCTCTCCAGCCTGACTTGTACCTCTACCTCCTCCTCTTCATCACTACTGCTTAAGTTCTTCACAGCACCAGATTGCCCCGAGGGTTCAGCCAGAGATACTTGTCCCTTCCCTCTGCGTCTCTGTCTCAGAGGGAGTTCAGATGATACCTGCTCTGCTGGACTGCTCCCACCTACCATATCTGTGTCCAGCCTTTCTCTGTCTTTCTCTCTGTCTCTGCCTCTTGTCCTTCTCTGTGTTAGTGACTTAGTGACCTTGATCTGTTGCGCATGCACGGCTGAACTCTGAGGAGGAAGTTGGGTGCTCAAGGAGGGTGCTGGAAGAACAGGCTGCGGAACAGGGCCAGTGATAAGCCCCCAGTTAATGGGAAACCCAATGGGTAAAGGGGAGCTGGATTTTGCTTGGATATTATCAACTTCCTTCTCTTCCTCCATTGGCTCTTCATGTAGTATAAAGTCCAGATAGATTCTATAGATAAAAAACACATTTTTATATTCATGCAGACAAAAGCATGTACCTATCTGTTCTGTTACTGGCCAATTTCCCTCTGATCTCCCCAATGAATAGATATGTAATGTGGATTCAGTCATGTTGCCTTATCCACAGTGGACATGATAATCCTTTAGAATCAGAATAAACACCTGCTGCGTGTATCTTAGCTGGCACTTGAATAAACAATGTTATATATGCTTTTTTGACAAGGAAAATCAAAATAGGCAATGAAACTAAGCATTTAAATCAATATTTTATTCAACAAAATGCAATGGCAGAGTATCTTATTTATTATTTACTCAGCCATAAGAAGCTGAAATATTTAAAAATTCAGTGTCAAAAGCCTACTGCCCAGATGCACAACGTCTTGCTAAAGCCTCTGAACAGACTAAGCTTTACAGTCCAGTAGGCTAAGCCAGATTTAGTTCAGCTATAGGTTAACACGCACAATAAATAGCGCAACCTACCTCAACCTTTAGTGAAGATGGTGTCCTCTAAAACACATTTCCGTTGCTTCCGAAAAAGACAACGTAACCGAGGAAGTATCACAAGTTCTAGCCTACTGCAATTGCACAAATATAAGTTACCATCCATAGGCTACTAATCGCGTAGATACTCCAGCGCGCATGGTCTATTTGCCAAGACGAGGCGAAGCAACTTTCCCTAGCGGATAATAAAAAAGGAGACCAAATAAGGTTTCTGTGTTCCTACAGACTGTGCTTCAACTCACTGTAGAGCTCCTAATCCAGAGTGTCAGGCGAGCCAGCAGTCCTTTAGAGATGATTGGTCCGGTAATCCCCTAAAAAATCGGAGGGATTAGACAAAAATGGAATACAAAAATGCATGCTTTAATTTCGTTGCCTCTCATGCCCGCTGCCGCGTGGAGCTCGCTGTTGCATAAGTAGCGAACGCACACCATCCCAAATAATAGGCTAAGCCAAACAAGCAAACAAACAAACAAGCAAACACATAAACAAGCAAACAAATAGATAAATAAGCGAGCATAAAACAGGCTTCGGGCTACATGAGGCGCCCTCACATTTTTTTTTTATTCTTGGGATATTCCGATGTGGATGGGATAGTATATGGATGGGCATCTACTGGGTTAGAGTGTGTTTTTAGAGAACGTGCCCAATTTTGTATTATAGAAACAACTGCCGACTGACTCTTAATGTCGGTACAGCTGATGCCTCCCACTATCTCAGTTCATCACAGCTCCACACATCTCCTTTGTTTTCATAGTCGCGCGTGCACACACATGCATACACATTAGCCAGTACACAGTCAACCTGACAATGTTTGTCTCCAGATGTGATCAGTCCCTGGCAGATGCTGCTGTTGTGTGTAGCTGTATATATGGTTAATGTCAGTAGAGGGCGCCATTAGCATATACACATAGACACAAGCAAGCAAACATACACACATCTTGTCCAGCTAGCTGTAACCGGCTAGCGAGTCTGTTGTCGAGTAGTTGACACCCTTCCTAAACCTCGGCAGCAGCGAAGCTGCACCGTCGATATGGCAAGAAAATATCGCTACAGTTTCCTAAAGAATGATGAACATCTTCCATGTCTTTTGGAATGAGTGAGTAGTACCGACATTAGTGGTACTTTTTCCTCATGGACCCCAACAGTAGAAGTTGCATATTTCGTTTTAGTCACATTTATGACGCAGAGCTATGGTTAGCAGTTGCTAACACGATAGTTAGCTAGGTAACAAGCTAACTGCTACTACGGGGAAGAGTAAGGTTTGTTCGCTAGCCTGTTAGCCTTATGTGTTCAGTCCGTCGAGAAGCGTTTTGTGTTAACTTCTTCTCAAAATGTGACCATATCACTCCCTTACTATATTTTCAACATTTAATTGGCATAACGGTAAAACTAGTATGTTTGGTGTAATAAATACATCCACAAGGCAGTTGGGTTGCTTGGTAGCTTCTAATGTTAGCGTTACATAATCTTGCTGTTGCAAGTCAAATGGCTGCACTCTCCGACTCAAGCTATCGTTTCCTTAACCAATATACGAGATGGTAACTAATGGTCTTGGCAGTGTAATTGTTTTAGGTTCCCAGCTATATTCAGAATAATTGTAGTGTCATGTCCAACCAGTGGCATGTATTCAATTGGTAGATGTGATTATTAACTGTGGCCTTTAAAAAAAACAAAAAAAAACAAACGACGTTTGCTCACTAGCAAACTAGCCACCCATAGCATATCCTGCTAAAAGTAAGCTAACGTTACCTAAAATTTGCTAGCTAAGGGATTATCACATAAATCATTAATGGGTCTTTAACCAAACATCAGAATGATTACAGCGACGATAGTTAACTCACGAGTCAAAATAAAATTGTTGAGTAATGATAGCATAACATTGCTGAACTCCATTAGCAAATGTTAGCTTTATAACAAGTTAGATAGCGCAGATGGACTCGGTTAGCCTACTCAGGATCCTTTGTCCATAGTCATAGTGTTACATGCTCGTCCAGGTAGGCCAAACAGCAGTTGTTTTGATTTTTCTCCGTTGTTTATCTCATCTGTATTTTATAGAATAATGCTTCGTCAATTCTGGTTAGTTTAGAATTAGTTTGGTGTTATGGTTGACAAACGTCTACAGGCGTGTAGTGGCCAAACTGGCTCGTACGTTTTTGATCTTTAACAGTAAAGAATCAATAGTGAAATGACAAACCTACTTTGTCATCCCACTGTCTTTAATGTATTCACTTACTAATTATGCGTTCATACACAATATAGCCATGCTTTGTTAATGCATGTAGATACTACAGGGATATAACATGAAGACAATTATAAAGCAGAGCTCCAGACATTTCATATTGTTGTCAGTGGTGCCACAGAGTCTCTCAGGTGGTGGCACCTGCTCTGTTTTACAATGTAATGCAAAAGAATCAGTATTTTTTATAAATTATTTAAAATAACCTTACCATCCAAAGTGCATAGCATGTATTTGTAATGAAATTCAGATAGAGATACTTATGGAACACAGTAAATGGGAAAATTACTTCTGGAACAGGATCCTAGCTCTTTTTATGTAGTTACTATAGTGCTCTATAGTCATTCAACGTGATTATGATGATAATACTGACGATGATGATGATTAGGCTATCATATTTCAACTGAAGTATAAACTGGTAAAGTAAAGTAAAACCTTTCCAACACATAAATAGGCTAATGGGTGATCTACCTGATTTAAGCAGCTCTCAGTGGCAAATACATTTAAAATGCACCAAAAAAAAAAAAAAAAACTTGAAACATAAAAAGGTGTCCAGGAATGACTTGTGTGTCTCAGAATAATTTTGGACTGGCACATTTGATGCCTCGTGAGATGTATGATTGACAGACCTGCAGATAAATGTTGCAGTGACAGTAGCACGGAGATTGTCTGTCCACTGTTTTTACAGTGAGAGCACTGTTTGTGCATAAGTTGTTTTTTCTGCAGTCGCACCCTGTGCGATCTTTGACAAAAGTCAGTTGCACCTTTAAATAAGTTTGGCCTCAAAATCTGAGTTCTCAGTCTGGAGCCCTGTAAAGCTACATTTGGGCTTGTATGTAAAGCTGTTTGATTTGGTGAATTTGGATTGCACAATTTTAATTCACTTTGTCTTCTTCTTTTACAGTATTCATCACGCGATGTGATCCAAAATCCACAATGTGTGAGAACATTTAAGAACGTTTGTTCGGAAGAAAAAAATTCTTGATTCCAGTGGAATCTTCCATATATATAATTATTATTATTATATTTTTGTTTGTGTTAAAGCTTACACATATTTGCGTACACTTGTCCCCATCAACATATAACCATGCCAGTGCAAGCACCACAATGGACAGAGTTCCTGCTGTGCCCAATCTGCACACAGACATTTGAAGAGACTGTTCGCCGGCCCATCAGCTTGGGCTGTGGACATACTGTCTGCAAGATGTGCCTGAACAAGTTACACCGTAAGGCCTGTCCCTTTGACCAGACAGCCATCAGCACAGACATCGAGCAGCTGCCTGTCAACACAGCCCTGTTGCAGCTGGTGGGAGGCCAGGTAAGACCTGTGTGTTTGTACACTAGTTTGGCAGTTTATGACAGATATCTCATTTGGAAACACTTGTGCAGAGCCTTTGTTGTTGCTGGGTTGTGATTAAAGGTAACAGCTTTTGTGTTTTAATGGAACATTTTAAAATACTAGTGTTATTTTGACAGTCTTTTCTGTAATTACAGTTTATGGATTGTATTAGAACATTACAGACAGGTTGTCACATGTGCATGTAACTTGGAGAGTCATTTATGAGTCACACTCCAGTCATTGAGCAATGGATTTATTTCTGTTGGTTTACTGAGTGCAAGCATTAAAGCTATTTTTTTCTGAGTCAGTGTTTGACTGTCAGGGTGAGGCAAAGTGAATTTCCAGGTATCACTGTATAAATTCCAGGTATGCTGTATTAGATAACAACACTGTATTCACTATGACCATGTTGTGTATCTGATACAGTCACAACTCTGAAGTTGTATTTCTTAGCTGAGTGCCTTCCATATCAGAATCAGAATCAGCTTTATTGGCCAGGTGTGTTGGACACAGGAATTTGACTCTGGTACAGCAGCTCTCTTGATACCAAATCTGAAACTTGTTGTGCATTTATTGTCTGCAGTAGTAGATTAGTAAGCCCAGAAGGAAATGGAAAGTTAAGAGTTCTGTAGGAGTACTCTCTGTTGTCATTAGGGATATACCTATACCGGTATGGGTCTCTGGTCCAGTGCCACCCTACTGCTTTACCTGTACTCATAAAAGTTGTGTGATACTATGCATTAATACCACTTAACATTATGATAACCTCACACTTGTGATTGTGAACGGTGGTCGTTCTGCAGATTATATTGAATTGTTGTAAATAAGAAGAAACCAAATGCTAATTTTACATAGGCCTAATTAATGGCGGTATCTAATGAGCTCTGTGTATGAAAATGAGTTGAATCCTTTTCGACTTGAAGGGTGAGTTTGAGCAGCTTTTCTACAGCAGAGTATGTATGTGTCCAGCAGAGAGGACAGGATGATGCCACAGACAGTAGCCAGTTTAAAGTAAGATCATACACCCTTTTAACATTTTAAGTTACCAACTGTTATATTGTGCGCTCCTAAACTTTGACATTCTGGGCAGGGGTTGTGAAATCATTTCATCCTAAGGGAGGGTCACACTCCAAAAAAGGTTAAAAACCACTGTATGCTGTGTAGGAGGCTACAGTCAGTTACAGCTTATATTCAGTAGAGGTGATGGCAGTGCTGTGTTTATAAGGTTTTAAGAAAATTTGCATAGTCTCCTGTTATATTTTATTTAATCACAATCAAACAAAAACTCAAAAACTGCCTCTAAGGTCACACAGATTTTTTTGATAAGTTTTATAGCAGAAAAATTGCATTAAGCACTTCTGCCGGTACTCTGAGTACTCAAATATAAGTACTTGTACTTGGTCTGAAAAATAGTGGTATCAGTACATCCCTCTGTGTCACCCATGAAAATAATTTAACACTTATTGATTAAAACACCACAGAGCTTCAGGTTTCTTCAGTCAGTGTTAAAAGTCTAAAGTGAAGGGGTTACATTTACTTTTGAATTTTGCTGGATGCCTAATGGTCATTTAATTGACCATTGCAATGCTTGTCAATTGTGTCTGCTATTTGACATAACACTATTAAAGACGATTGCTTTTATTCAAAAATTGATTTTGTTTCAGTAGCGAGTTTGTGCTGCTGAGAGTTTTTCTAGATGTTGACAACGCAAAGTTCTTGTAAAAACTCGGAGACCTTTGACTGACTTACAATTTTACTTTGTCACATTAATGTCACAGATTCAGAGATCAGAGATAACTTGGTATTAATTACAAAACTCATTTCTGTGTAGTTGTTCTAAGTCTTACATCAGACACTGAACAGAGAATGATGACTGTGTTCCACTACAACATTATTGATACATAATTTTACTGAAGGTTTTCAGCTACCGCAGTGGGTTGTCTTTAATTTTCCCACTCTGTTCTGCTGTAGGTTCCCAAGGCTCAACCAGTTGCCTTGATTACCAGTCCAGAGGACTCTCAGCATTATGAGGAAGCCAGGCAGTGTGTGGAGGAGCTGGCTCTCTACCTCAAACCCCTTAGCAACACCCGAGGTACTTGCATGCACAAACACATGTTTATTATTTATAGTCTCTTCTTAGTTAATAGTGATCCAGTGACACTCATATGGCTGGAGGGTATTTTCAACATGGGAAGTCCACAGTTGCACAGTAGTTTTGGAGGCAAAGTGGTTTATGATGTGAGAATATTGTTAGGTGACTGATAATACACATGGCCTTGTTCCTTTTTCAAACACTACATTGTTTATGGGTTTGTATGTCCTACATGCAATGTCATCTTGGAAGCCAGTAAACTGTATGAATAAATGGTTAAAGTCATCAGTGCTTTCCATTTAGATCAGCATTTTTAAAAACAGCATGTTACAGCTCATGAACTTATGAATTTGAAGCTGTCTGAAAATTTCCACTTACAAAGTAGTAAATGACATTAAGTGTGTCTTAGACTGTACTCATAAGCACATTTAAACACAGCGCCATTCAAAACACAATAAATTACACATTGCAGGTGTCTATTGCATTTTTAATTGTCAGAAGTAGAAATAAATGCTACTATAACACTACTGTAATTTGCAATATAATGTAAAAGAGAAAAAATAGCGACTTTGTAAATTATTGCTTGATTAACAAAAACAACCTTTGATGGAATTTTAATGAAATGTATTAAATGAGTTGATTATTGCCATGTTTTATATGTGCAGCTTCAAGGCTACTCTGTTTCTTTTTAGCTGTTAGAGTCTGAGACACTGAATAAAACCACATGACACCATAAGCAACTCTCAGCTGCTCTTTGCTCCTCTCATCATGTCCTGTTTCCCAGCGATGACGAAAAATATCATGGTTGATTGCGAGAAACTGGAGCTGGCATTAGCTGATTAATCAGTAAATGTGGCAGTCCAGTAGAATGCTCCGGTTATTACTGATGTGACACAAAACACTAATATTACACAAAGCTTGAATTATTCCAAAATTAAAATCATGTTAATCCAATTCAAAAGTAAAATCATGACCATACTAGGTTGCTAATGTTGCCAAAACAAACACGTCAGCTTTAGATACCAACACATCCAGAAAGGAGGACATTACATCTGAATTCACTTGATTTATCAATGTGTAAAATAAAGAATCATACATTAATTGTTGTTTGTACCACTGCTAAAAATGAAACTGTAATTTCTAAGAAAGAGGATTAAATTGGGCCCTACACTTGTAGCATATATTGACTCATACTTTTTAACACTGGTGCAAGTTTTAAGCAGTTTGCTTAAAAGGTTGTCCTGTTATTATTTGAAAATGATTGATTTCTTGATATTGGGTTACTACTAACAATTGATAAGTCATTACAAGTTTGTAACATTGATTTTTTTTTATTTTATTTTTTGAAATAAGCATTTTCACAATGTAACTGAAACAAATTGGCTGGTGGTTCTAATAATTAGTCTTTCTCCATTGATATAAATGTGGTATACTGGTATGTTGCATTTTTCTGTATTTATTCCATGGGTGTACCAGTTGTCCTGTCTAATCATCAGGTGTGGGTCTGAGCAGCACAGCCCAGAGCATGCTGAGTCGACCTATGCAGAGGAAACTGGTAACACTGGTCCACTGCCAGCTTGTGGAGGAGGAGGGCCGCGTTAGAGCCATGAGAGCTGCCCGCTCTCTGGGTGAGCGAACGGTCACTGAGCTCATTTTGCAGCACCAGAATCCACAGCAGCTCTCCTCCAATCTGTGGGCTGCTGTCCGTGCACGAGGATGTCAGTTTCTCGGTCCAGGTATAATATTTTTTATTACCTTCAAAGAGAGAAAATCAAGCAGAAGCAGTCTATATGCTCTTTGTAAATGTTGGCTGCTCAGGCTTTTTAACAATTAACTGTTTAATTATGGTTTTGATGTTTTTTTTTTTTCTTCATTAGCAATGCAGGAGGAAGCTCTAAAGTTGGTGCTTCTTGCTCTAGAGGATGGATCAGCTTTGTCCAGGAAGGTTTTGGTTCTCTTTGTTGTCCAGAGACTGGAGCCACGCTTTCCACAGGCCTCTAAAACTAGCATAGGCCATGTGGTGCAGCTCCTTTACAGGGCCTCCTGCTTCAAGGTACGTCTCTAGCTGAGGACCAGGAAAAATCGTCATTAATTTTCTTTAAATTTCTGAGAAATAATGTAGGTCATGTGGTACAATGGGGCCCATCACTCCTTAAAAGTGACCATGAAAAGCCTTTTTTTTTTTAATAAATTCATTGCTAATGCAATGCAGTGATGAGTATAAAACAGACAATTAAGTAAAAGCTCTCATCTAAGCCTAAGGGGGAAATTAAAATGTCACCTAACTTCATCTGTGGCTGTCTAGGTGACCAAACGTGATGAAGATTCATCTCTGATGCAGCTGAAAGAGGAGTTTCGAACTTATGAAGCTCTGCGGCGAGAGCATGACTCTCAGATTGTTCAGATTGCCATGGAGGGTGGGCTACGGATTGCACCTGACCAGTGGTCTTCTCTGTTGTATGGGGATCAGTCTCACAAGTCACACATGCAGTCTATTATAGATAAGGTAAGGGGCAGAAGTACACATTCTTTTTGTTGATGTTTAACAGTGTGTTTGCTTCCACGTCCGCAAATATTTCTTAAATGTGATCTGCAACATGGTGCCATTTTCTAGCTTTTTATATCAAAGCATGTTCCTATATAAATATATGAAAGCATTAACTTTCTGTCTGTCTACTTCTGGCATAGCTGCAGACGCCAGCATCTTTTGCTCAGAGTGTCCAGGAGCTGACTATTGCGTTGCAGAGGACCGGCGATCCAGCCAACCTCAACAGGTTGCGGCCCCACCTGGAGCTGCTGGCCAACATTGATCCCAGCCCTGGTAAGAACAAGCTGATTTCAGGAATCTTGGTTTTGAAGTGATGTAAAGAGCAAGTCAAATATATACAGTGTCACAATTTTAGAATTTGAACTGTGACCTCTGGAGTAAATGTCAGGATATGTTAGGAGTATGTTGTTTAGATTTTAGTGTGTGTTGGTATTTGTCCTCCAAATGTCACAAGTTAGTGTGTTGTAATATAAAGATCTGCTCCAGTAGTGCAACACTGTGCTAAGGTGTTGAAAGAATGTCTTTAATCATAAGAAATTAAGCTGTGAATGAAATGCTGTGTTGCAAGTAGATCTCTATTGTATTTTGTAATGTTTTACCAGCAGGTATATAAAATTCAGCACCACATCTTGTAATCCTCACTAAATCATATCTGTTGGTGAGATCAAGAGAAGTGGTTGGCACACAGAGCAAGTGGATTGTATCATCTATTTAGGTTTATGTATTTAGATGGCAAAAAGTAGAAACATTCATAGCAACAAACTCTTGGGATTATGTAGATTAATTTTGAGTTTGCAGGCTAGACAGTTTTCTTTTATTTATCCATGTTTTTCTGTTTATCCCAGATGCTCCTCCTCCTACATGGGAGCAGCTTGAAAAGGGGTTGGTAGCAGTGAAGACAGTGGTGCATGGCCTGGTGGACTTTATCCAGAACCACAGCAAGAAAGGAGCTGATCCTCAACAGGTCAGTTTTCAATTGGATCACAGAAAAGCTGGGATTAAGAATGGTGTTGATACCTTCTGATGGCTCATGGGTGCAAAACACCTTAAGACACTTGATGTTGATGTTTCATTTAGAACACGTCTATATATTCTTAGGTATTTAGAAAATATTATTAATATAATAATAATATTATAGTTTTTACGACTTCATAAATAGTTTTACCATAATGAAACAAAAAGCTGAGAATCCTCTATTTTAATAATACTTGATGTCTTTCTTTAGCCTTCTCAGCACAGCAAGTACAAGACATACATGTGCCGTGACATGAAGCAGAAAGGAGGCTGTCCTCGTGGGGCCAGCTGCACCTTTGCTCACTCTCAGGAAGAACTGGAGAAGTGAGTCTTCAACATGATGCATTGTCTCAACTCAACTCAACTTTATTTATATAGCGCTTTACCACAGCACAGCTGACCAAAGCACTTAACATATCATACAAATATAAAAACAACACATAAAAAGCTATAGACAGTAATATAAACACTAACACCAGGGACAGAGTGTCATTCCTGGTCAAACGCCAATGAATAGAAGTAGGTCTTCAAATAAGACTTAAAAGTGGACAGTGAGGGGGCCTGCCTAATATAAAGCGGCAAGGCATTCCATAGGTTTGGACCTATCACAGCAAAGGCTCTGTCCCCCCTAGTTTTCCGCCTGGCCCTTGGTGCCTCCAGAAGAAGCTGATCTGCTGATCTGAGGCACCGCGATGGATTATACGGATGCAAAAGTTCCACCAGATAAGAAGGTGCCAGCCCATTTAAGGATTTATAAACAAATAAAAGAATCTTAAAACGAACCCTAAAACGCACCGGAAGCCAGTGGAGAGATGCCAGTACTGG